TCGGAAAACTAGCCGGTGCAGCCCCCGGAGGTGACGCTGCATACACGACTCGGACTGCAAATCCTCTGATTACTCCCGACCAGCGGTGCAACCTCCTTACAATTCTCATTGATGGTTTACCTATAACTGCTCTTATTGATACCGGTGCACAAATATCTGTGATGAGCTCTGACCTCCGCCGCCGCCTCCAAAAAGTTCTGACGCCTGCGATTGCATCTACCCTTCGTACAGCGGATGGGAGTACTCCTGCTGTGCTTGGAATGTGCACTGCGCGATTAACAATTTCTGAGCATCAAACTTCAGTTCTGTTCGCTGTACTGGAAAATTGCCCTCATGACCTCATCCTTGGACTCGACTTTCTGACTTCACACGCTGCGCTCATTGACTGTTCCAAAGGTCTTCTTCGGCTCGAACTACCATCCTTTTCGGAGACCGTCTCTACCAGCCCACCTCGTCTACGCTCTGTCGATTTCCTTAGACTTCCGCCGCAAGCCGCAGTCCAAGTCCAACTTTCGCCATATCCTGCAGTACCCGATGGTGATTATGTTGCTGCCCAATTTCTGACGTCACCATGACACGCAATGTTGCACTCCCCAACACGGTGGTTACCGTTAAGGACAACCGAACTTCGTTTCCCGTCCTCAATTTCGGCTTCTCAGCGCAAGTTATTCCTCGCGGCATGTCACTTGCGCATCTTACACCACTGGTCGACCACACAGTTTCCGCTCTAGCCACCGATTCACCACCCGATTTTTCATCAACGTCGTTCTCGTCACGTTCCTGTTCCGACCTTTTCAAGCCAATGCCATCTGACGAGCTCACCTCTGAACAAGTCTCTGCTTTCTGCCGTGTGCTTGCTTCTTATCAGGACATCCTTGACTTCGGCGACCGTAATTTGGGCCAGACATCCGTGGTAACCCATCGCATCGACACCGGTGACGCTCGACCCATTCGCCGACGACCCTACCGTGTGTCGGCCCCGGAGTGTGCTATTATACAGCGAGAAGTCGATAAAATGCTTGATAAGGGCATAATCGAACCCTCATCTAGTCCCTGGTTCTCACCCGTTGTACTTGTTAAAAAGAAGGACAATAGCTGGAGATTCTGTGTTGATTACCGCCATCTCAACCATATTACCAAGAAAGATGTATATCCCCTACCGCGCATAGATGATGCACTCGATTGCTTGCACAGGTGCCAAATATTTCTCTTCAATAGACCTTCGCTCAGGCTACTGGCAGATCGCTGTGGACGACAAAGACAGAGAGAAGACGGCCTTCGTGACTCCTGATGGACTTTATCAGTTCAAGATGATGCCTTTTGGATTATGCAATGCCCCCGCGACATTTGAGCGCATGATGGACTCTCTCCTTCGAGGCATGAAGTGGACCATCTGCCTCTGCTATCTTGACGACGTTATTGTTTTTTCGACTACTTTCGACGACCATCTTACCCGCCTGTCCGCAGTGCTTGATGTTTTTCGACGTGCCAACTTGCAACTTAACTCGTCCAAATGCCGCTTTGGGCAACGCCAAATCTGCGTACTCGGCCATCTTGTTAACGCTGCGGGCGTTCAACCAGACCCTGCGAAAGTCCGAGCAGTTCGCGACTTCCCCACACCCCGCTCAGCCAAGGACGTCCGAAGTTTTCTGGGACTGTGCTCCTATTTCCGTCGTTTTGTCGAAAAGTTTGCTGAAGTAGCCCGTCTTTTAACCTGCCTCCTCAAAACGGATGTCGCATTCACCTGGGGCCAACAGCAAGCAAACGCCTTCTCGTCGCTCGTGGACATTCTCACCAATCCACCAGTCCTAGACTACTTCGACCCATCTGCTGCCACAGAGCTTCGTACTGACGCCAGTGGCCACGGCATAGGCGCAGTGCTCGCGCAGCGGCAACAAGGCATGCACCGCGTCGTCGCGTATGCAAGCCGACTGTTGTTGCGATCGGAACAAAATTATTCCATCACAGAACGCGAGTGCTTAGCTCTCGTCTGGGCCATTGCGAAATTCCGACTGTACCTGTACGGCCGACCATTCTCAGTTATTACCGACCACCACGCGCTTTGCTGGCTCTCCTCACTCAAGGACCCTACGGGACGCCTTGGTCGCTGGGCGCTGCGCTTACAAGAGTACACTTTTTCCCTATCCTATAAATCCGGACAACTTCACAAGGATGCCGACTGCTTGTCCCGTTACCCAGTCGATCCCCCTGACACGAGGGAAAATGAGCAAGAGGCCCTCGTTCTTTCAATTACCGACTTCACCGACATAGCTGCTGAACAACGCCGCGACCCCTCTTTGCCTGCTATTATCAATGGTCTGCACTCTCCCCACCCTGACCACTCCTTACAACTGTTCGTTCTTCACAACGACATCTTGCACCGCTACAACACCCGCCCTGATGGTGCTGAGCTTTTACTCGTTGTTCCTGTGCATCTTCGCTCAGACGTTTTGGCCCAGCTACATGATGCCCCCTCCGCTGGACACCTAGGGGTGTCACGCACGTATGACCGCATTCGTCGCCGATTCTTTTGGCCTGGCCTCTACCGTTCTGTGCGACAGTACGTTGCGGCATGGGACCTCTGCCAGCGCCGCAAAACACCTGCTCTGAGACCTGCTGGTACCCTCCAGCCCATTGAAGTACCAGATGAGCCATTTTTCCGAGTCGGCCTCGATCTTCTAGGACCCTTTCCCGTGTCGGCCACCGGTAATAAGTGGATTGCTATTGCTACCGACTATGCAACGCGGTATGCCGTTACACGCGCCCTCCCCACCAGCTGCGCTACTGATGTAGCCGATTTCCTTCTTCATGACATCATTCTGCGTCACGGTGCTCCTCATCAGTTGATCACCGACCGCGGCAGCTGTTTTCTATCTTAAGTAGTCGACGAGCTCCTGCGATCCTGCTCTACCCACCACAAGTTCACTACAGCGTACCATCCGCAAACCAACGGCCTCACGGAACGCCTCAACCGTACCTTGACGAATATGTTAGCGATGTACGTCTCCAAGGATCACAAAGATTGGGACATCCACTTACCTTTCGTTACCTTCGCGTATAACAGTTCACGTCATGATACAGCTGGATTTTCCCCTTTTTACCTACTGTTCGGTTATGACCCGCCTTTGCCCATAGACACCATGCTCCAATCTGACGCCCCCTCATCGACTGCTTATGCTCGTGATGCCCTGGCCCGAGCTGACATCGCTCGCCAAGTCGCCCGGGATCGTTTATGTGCCTCGCAGCTTAACCAAAAGAGTGCTTACGATCGCCGGCATCGCGACGTGCAGTACTCTCCGGGGTCACTCGTCTTGCTGTGGTTCCCATCACGTCGTGTTGGTCTCAGCGAAAAACTAATGTCCCGTTACGTTGGCCCCTACCGCGTCATACGCAAGGTCACCAGCGTGACCTATGAGATAGCTCCGCTCCATACCACGTCAGTACCAGCTTCAGTCCCGACCGATATAGTGCACGTCTCACGGCTTAAACCATACTTCTCACGCCTCGAGGATTGATCGCACCGGGACGGTGCTTCTGCCGCCGGCGGGTAATGTCACAGGCTAAGTAGATGCCTGAGGATGACGACGACGAAGTGCTGAATGGGAACGTGCTCGGACTACAGCAGCGTCGTACACATTAGCTCGCCAGTATATTCGCCAGTACGCTTTTGCTCACCAGTGCATACTTTATTCCCCGTAACAATATAAGCAAAGGTGGTCGTGCACTGAATGTCCAGAGCCTGTCATGTGCGTGCTTCTGCGCACGGGAATGTAGAAAAGGCACTGTATGCCTGGTTTTCAGAACTGTGCTGAAAGAACATTCTGGAGGATGGCCCGATGCTGATCGCCAAGGCCAAATAGTTTGCCGCTGCTCTCAGTGACACAACTTTGTTGACAACGATGAGTGGCTTCATTGATTTAAGCAGTGCTACTACATCGTTGGCTGAACCAATTCTGGTGAAAGCGAAGCTGTCAGCAGCCAGGACATCCAGCAGTGGATGATAAAGGAGTTGCCAGAAATCACAGCGACGTTTTATCCCACGGAGATCTTCAGTGCCTGACGAGGTGCGAAGACGGACGCAGTGGTCAACTGTGCCCGCAAGGCATGCTTCGAGACGGCGGAACTTGCGGAAACCGGTGAAGACGACGACAAGCGCATAGACGCGTTTCACGAGTTGTCATCCCGCTTTCTGGAAGCAGTTCCACGCGAAGTGTCTGTGGAAGACTTCGTGGAAGCAGACTGCAATGTCCAGGCCTCGGTAGCTTATGCGACGAAGATCGTGCTTACGAGGCCCTGGCCACACGCGCGTACTTCGCTGATGAAGTGGCAGCAGCGTTCGGCATCATTTGCCGTTATATCGGTCGCATGAAGGAAACCGGGCTGTTGCACCTGGACAGCTTTTATAAGATCGAGACTAGCATTTCAACACTTCAAAAACGAAGAAGCAGGTCAAGATTAGTGATTTTTTTCACCCAAATAAATCATTCTGTTGCGGCGTTTGTGCAGAATCAGTCATCATTCTTGAATGCGCCTCTTGTAGGTGATGATCTGCTACAGGTAAGCTCTCGGGGCTGCTATTTTTTTATATCGAGTTTTTTATATATCGAACTAGTTCGAGATCCCCTTCGAGTTGGATATATCGGTGTTCAACTGTATCGAGAGCTCAGTTGGGCTAGTTGGTACGAATGCATGTATGGTTACAGAGCGAAGTTGACGAAGATGGAAGGGACACAGATGAGTGCTGTCTCAGCAGGAACCGAACAGCGCTTGTCCTTTTCATCTTCCGTCTTTGTAGATTTCATGTTGCTACCAAAATACATATATTAACAAGCTTGCACCTTATATGAGGCAAAACTGGCAAATTTCATGTTTACATCCTGTGTGCGATCTAAGGATTGCATGTGCAAGTCAGGATTAACCGGTGCGTCTATGCATTTAATCTAGCAAAAAGCTACAATGGTTGTGTGTCTTCAAGTGTATAAGAAAACCACATCATGCAGGCTAAACAGAAGAGTGACCGCAACCGACTTAAGGTGGAGGAGGAGTTTTTGAAAACGACGCACGCGCAGCGGCAGGAGGCAGCACAGCTCAAGCGCGAGGAGCGTCGTCGTGTTGAGAAAGAGCGCATCATGAACGAAGAGGACCCAGACAAGCAACGCAAGTGGGAGGCAAGTTTGAATTGTGCCTGAATTTGCATCTGCATCCACCCTAGTTGCATGAATCTCTTAACACTGTTAAACAAAAACCTGCTTAAGAAAATTTACATTTGCATCAAATTAATGTCATATCCACTTACAGAAAGAGAGAACTTTGTGTCATGTTCGAAAGGTAAGGAACCTTCTCACTTGTTTAAAACCCTCTAAGCACTGTCTTCCATCTTCTGTGAGGCATGGAAAAACATGTTGTAGTGGTGAAAACCTGCACCAACTGTCAGCTGGCACCATACTGCTCCAAAAGGGTCTTTTTTTTTTAGTCCTAATTTGCACCATTGCTGTGCCACAAGCTGGCTTTGGAGCTGAGAATAATGTTGACAGTTGTCATGAGCGAAAGTATGTGATGCTTACCATTTTGTACACTTGTGCTGCTGCATTCACTAATGCCGCAACATCCGTTGTGATAACCGATGCAATTCAATGGGCATTTTTTTAGGAGGCTAGGGGCACGTGCGCAATGGCGATGACGTGATTCGCACAATGCTTTTTGGGGGTCGGCCGATCAATTATTCTGACTTCCGCACGATTGTGGCATTTACAGCCCTTGCTAGTAACCATGGCAAAAGAAAGAAGCCAATGTGGCGACCATTGAAAAACGTGCTATTATGACTCAAGGCTATCAAAACTAAACTAGCAGTTCCATGTACGAATAGAACCAATAAGCGAAGTTTCCTTGGAATTGGGACACTAATGACTGTGTTCCTGGTCTTTCTTCTGGCTTTCATAAAGGGGAGAGCGTTTGCTGCTCTCGGTGGTGGGAACGAATGAACGACTGAGCAAGGGAGTGTGCGGCACGCCTGCTATTTTGCTCGACGCGCTTGCCCAGTGCAGGGAGCTTTGCAAGCGTCGGATGAGTGTTGTATCGTCGCTTTAAGCCTTCTGCACGCTTTTAACAACTGGCGACTACCTGAGCCTGCTGAGCCACCTATCACTGCCACCTTCTTGTGTGCAACAGTGTTTAGTGTGAAGCGCTTTGCAGAAACACAAACAGTTCGCTGTTGCAGAAATGAGCGTTGTGGATAGTGGGAACCGAGAAGCCTCACTGCATTGTCACCATCGCACTGATTGCACGTGTATGGTGCAGCAAGCGTAGTGCAGATGTGGTCATACTGCGTGCTTTCATTAGACGTCAGCCAAAACAAGCCTTCATTCGCTGCCGGGACCAATATAGCATCGCTTGCGAAAAATTCGTCATCGTCACGTTAACACAACAATGTTCTCGCCACATCTGTGTACGGTCTGAAGCAAAATGGGCATAAGTGACTTTACTTCATGTACTCAGCGTGTACACTGAGCACATGAAGCGCTGCTCGCAACTAAGCGGTAGACAATCGGCTCCTTGCGACCGTACCTTGGTTAAAGAAAGAACTGTCAATTGCCACTATGCAGCAGATCGTGGTACATATTTATTGCAGAGAGCCAATTATTATGCCTGTTTCATCGTTATGTCAGTTGCGGCATTGGCTGCGTATCCGGAACACCGCTGTAGTCAGGGCGTGGAAACTCTCTACACCTCCCATGTATTCGCTCTCGCATGCCGATATGCAGTGGCAGCGTCGATTTTACCACTGGTGGCTGCCGGGAATCCAACTAGAAAGAATTAATGAACAGAACATTTCCTTTATGACATCACTGGTGAGGTCAGGAAATAGAGGGAAAAGATGAAAAAAATGAGAGGAGGGTTGGCATGAAAACTCTTCTTTCCCACTTTGCATGCAAGCGGAATGTGTTCAGGCTTTTTTTCAGGTCTGCTAGCCGCTTGAGCGATATGGCCAATTGTACAACTTTGTTAACTTTTTTAAAATTTGGTTTGTGTGTTCTGAAGTGGCGAAAGTAAAGCTAACCTAATTATCAGTAAGACAAAACTCGATTGACACAAATTAAATTAACTTTTTTTGCATGTTTTGTATAAAAAAACATACACGTAGTGTGAAAGTGTCAATCAATACGGGCAGCTTTAATTTACAATGGACATTGAACATAATGAGGAAATATATAACACAGAATATCCGAACCAATGTGAAAATTATTAACAATCATGAGTATAGGGCACGTTGTATTTAGCTAAATCCTCTTTGTTGTGATGGTGGACAGTTTATTTACAGAATTTGAGTACAAAATGGGACTGAAATACAGAGGCAAGATGAGGCTTCAAATGATAACAAATTTTTCCAGAGAGCACGTCGCTGGAAACAGTGTTTCGGCAAGTTGACCAGTCGATAGTCAGGGTAGCAGCGTTGCTTTGACGAAAAACAGCTCACTTGCTTTGTCTAAACATTGGCTTCAGCGACATTCACTGTAATGATTTGTAGAAGCATTTAGCTTAACACGTATATTTAAGTGATAGTATGAGAACTAAGGACTCACAAAGTTTCAAGCTGCGGCTACATAAATTTCATGAATAAGAAAGAGCATATAATAACTTGATATTATTTGAACTACATGTCAAAGTAAAAAAGCAAAAACTATATAGCCGAGGCGACACGAATTCTAGCCTTTCATTTAATGCATTGTGCCAACAGCAGTTCGACTACCGTCTTCACTATTTAGTCTAGCGACACTGCACTTCTGCAGTCATGCTTGGCGAGATCTGGGTTTACTCATATACGTGTCCTAAATGAATACCTGCTCAAATAGTAGATCCAAATGCATGTTTTCATCCAATGCCACTAGGAAACCTGAAAAACTTTTGCAGAACTGGATATCCCCGGGTCAACACAACGCACAGCCACGAAAAACACGTGGTGCCTAATTTAGCTATCTTCATCGACTGCATTGTTGACTTACTTGACATAGCTAACTGCAGCTTCTGTTGTGTGCCCGCCACAACTTGTCTTTAACTTTTCCATAGTTGGCATGCCAACCGAGCAAGATATCTGAGCGTCATCCAACTTTGAGTGAGTGCTGAGAAGGAGCTATCCAATGCAAGTGCCACGCACTCATGTCAACTACTTCCCGCGCTTCCCCTGATTTAAAGTTCACAAAACAAGAAATATAAAAAATATCAACAAAAAAAATTCTGTGCAGTGGTATCAAATTTATTTATTCATAGAAACTTGTGAAAGCCAAGAAATGCAAACACCTGCATCAACCTCACTTTGTTAAACCAGATTTTAGAATGCCTGGCAACCGCTAAAAGTGTGTGTGTTTCTTGAAACCGAAACGAGCGCTGAGTTTTTGAGGCCTGGCAGTAGCTTTGAAATGCGCCTAAGTGTCCCCACCATGTGCCATCAGACAGTCGAGAATGCCAATCATTTCCGAACTTTGGCAAAAAGGAAAAAATTGCCTTGTGGGGAGCACTTTGGGCACTATTCGCAGCAGTTCTGTGTTTATTCCTTTTTTTAGTGGTGATAGCACATCTGAAGAGATGCGAATTGCTACTTGTTGGTTCATGTATACCAGTTTTAGTGCGTAGTTATGCCGTGTACGTTCCCTGTAGGTTCTCAGCACCCTCGTATTACTGAGGTTTTTACTGTAGGAAAACCTTAAATGTGCTTGCGCACGTGCATGTGTCTGTGTGTGTGGGGGGGGGGTCTACCAACTTCATGCTGCACTATTTTGTGTCACCGCTTCTGTACATAATTCAGCTTTTGATTATTTTTCGTGCCTATTTTGTGAACCTGCTTCCTCTCTATAATGGAATATGTAAATTTAGAGAGATATAAACTAAATAATGTAAAAGTTTTTTCCTTCTATGTATCATGAGAAGCCCGTGCGTGCTTCACAGTGGTAGCTGCTCCAAAAACAGATTTTCCCTGCTTCACCGGCTACTCCAAAATGCTGGAAAACATTATCATTGATCTTGGCATAATGACTGCTAGCTGCTTCTCTGTCATGATTATGCAATGTATTGTCACTGCTGTGTGCCTAATTCTTCTGTGTTTGCATTTCCTTCCCTGTGGCTTAGAAAAATTTACCGGTGACAGTAAACATTTTAAAATGATTTTCCACTGACGGATGTCACGCACGAGTAGATCATTTGGTCTTTGCTTGTCAGTGCCGTTCACAGCGAAAAGCAGTGGCTCATGAGAATGATGAGATGAGGTGCACTCACGTCACTGAGAAAATGACGAAATGGTGGCAAAAACGCACGTGCACACACACTGAATCAAGAGAAATTTGCCTGTTTTGAAGATACTTCCTGCACGGGTCCACTTGGTGCGTGCCAAAGAAAAGAAAGATCGGACCACATTGGCCAATGAGACGGGGCCAAGAGCTGGATCGAAGAAGATGCATTGGCTCGGCCATACGTCAACGTTCGAGAGGTGTCGGGAGGTACCTTGTCGAGCGTTGTGGGGGGCACGTGCTCCCAATCACCCTTTCTCTTTTAAAGGCAGTGCGACAGCCTAGTTGCGAAGACATGACTAACCCTTTGAGACAAGAGTCAATAAAGCCCCTTGTGAAGGGATGGAACACCCCTGTGGTCGGTGCTCGGGATTCCCCTTTCCCGGCCCGCGGAACGGTGCCTTCCCTCAGTGAGGGAACGTATCGTGACGCTATGATGAGCGCCAGAAACGACCTCGCAAGTTAAAAAAAAAATAATAAAGAACAACCTATTCTCTACCGCTCTGCTTACTCTAAGAACGAAAGCAAAAATAAAAATACATTTGTCGTCAGGAAAGGGAAACCGGGTCGATGATGAGAACTTGTGTGCCGGCTGGCATACGTGCTCTCTGGCACCGACAACGAAAGAAGAAAGACGAACCCGGAACCCCCTGCGAGCCAAGGATGACATCGACTAAGGTGTTAGCGTCTACCCTCTGTTATCTGTATAGTCTCTCTACGAGGCGTTTACAGTACAAAATTTTACACCCAGAAGGGTGTAAATGAGCTTGTCTCGAAGACGACACCCTAAGGGTGTTAATTCAGCACCTTCCAAAAAGGGTGCTTTTCCATGCACCCTTAGAATAGGGTGTACATGTAAAAAAACTGTAGGGTGTTACAAAACACCCTTAAGGAAGGGTGCCTTCAATGTCCTTCACTTTTTTAGCACCCTCTGAGGAGGGTGCGAGAAGGGTGCACAAGGGTGTTGAGTGCCCATGGCAGTGGTGCCAGTATTCTTTCAGACTGCACTAATAGATATCGGCATGCACTGATTACACACTACTTGAAGAA